TCTGAGACTCTGTCCATTCACGAAACTCTGCCAGAGACTGACTGATGGCCCTCCCCTGGCTTCTCTGCGAAATACGTTCACTAAACTGGACTGCCTCGGCCAGCTCCTGTGCACATAGGGTATCAACCGTAGACATGAGCTGCAGCCAAGAAACCCACGAGATGCCGTCATTCTGTCTGATGACCTGGTGCCCCTTATCAGGGGCCTCCGAAGCTAACTTCTTACACGTTGAAACTAACAACTCTTGCTGCTTGACACCATTCTTTCTAGCCAGATGTTTGGCATATGTATCCAGCACCACATGGGCCCTGGTCCACCATCCACTGATGCGATCCCTCATCGGTGCAATCCTGGACGGCGTCGCTTCCAAGACAGTGTCGGTACGGAACTTGGGCCCCTCGGCGCGAGATCTCCCAAGGCTGGCCTGGCCATGATGCGAGGCGAAGCTGGCCTCCACTGTGCGAATCCACGCACCGAAAGGACTGCTAAGACTGCCACAATGATATGAGCCAAGAGAGTGTGCAACGGAACGGACGATAGCATCAGCAGGCGGGTAAGTACCCGACGAAATGAAACCGACGTTTTTCCTTTCAGCACTCCAGGTGGCCTCTGCTAGCTTAAAATCAGCGTTGGATTTTAAATTCCCCTCAGACCCTGTGGGCGATGGCTCCTGATCGTGAGACTGTTGCTCGGGGCTACTATCTGGGGGGCTCTCGCGCTGGGCTGAATTACTCATTGACTGTGCGGGAGGCAGAGAGGCAGCGGGTTGGGCGGGGTCGGGTCCGAAGCCGGGTCCTCTTCCTCGTTGGAATCGTACCCGTCACCTCCCAGCGGCTCGCCGACACCTGTTTCGGCTTCGCTGAGGGGGACCTGCGGACAACTCGCCCCCTCCTCATCCACCCTGACACTCTCAAAAGGAAACCATTCACGAATTCTATCGTGCCGCTTTTGCTTGGCCAGCTGCTGTGCTAACCTACGCTCTACCTTAGCTCGGCTCGACTTCGAACCTTCCACAGGCTGCCTAGCTGGACGAGGCACCGATGGGAGCTGGGGTGGAAGATCCAGATATCTAGTATACAGCTGGCTACCCTCTGAGATTAATTCCAGACTGAGGCCGATGCGGGGTTTCCACGGAACGTCCAGGACGGCCCTGAGCCCCAGGATATAAGGCCTAGCAGCCTCGGAACACAGAACAACATCTAAATGCGAGGGGCGATTTTCACCTGGTGTGCAAGTGAACTCAGCCTCAGGTGCGACGACGATGCCTGCAACCTTTTCCACGAAGCCTGTGGCGCACAGCTGCGCGGGCGACATGTTCCAGTCACCGATGGCAATCCATGGCAACTGAAGTGATGCAAGCAAACTGCCGATGCGACGCATACGAAGGATGTTGTCGCCACTGAAACCGATCCCTGTGTATCCGTATATGATGCACACCACCAGCGAAAAAAAACCACGCATATGCAATAATACAGGTAGGAACCCATCAAACACTGCACATCGATCATGACGAAGGGCAGGAGAATTACGAGCAGCGTCAAGAACCTGAGCAGGGCGATGGTTACGAACCAACATCCACTCACCTCCTTCATTCGCTCGAGCTTCCTGATCTGGGTGTACCTGTTTCCATCTACTCTTGGCTCTAGCGCCATTGGCCAACAACTTCAAACCTGCACCGCGCGCCTTGGATGTCCACTTGCCAAGGTCTCGCTGATGCACATGTGTCTCGCACGCGGTGACATAGTCGTGCGCCCGAGACGTCTGACAAAGATATCCCCAAGCTTTGTCCCCCATGCAGGTTGTGTTGCCGAAGAAAAGTTTGGTCGAGGACTTCGTCGATGACGAAGTCGATGCAGTAGTGCTGGCCCCAGTACTGGTCGTACTGCAGCTCCCCGATGACGACGTTGAAGCACCAGTGCCTGTAGGACTGCTGCTGCCCGTAGTGGTCGTCTCCATGGACGACTCCCCCAGCGGAGCTGTCGCAGCCCCTAGTCACAGCTCCTCATTGTCAGCGTCGGGAACCTTGACGTTGTCACCCTTTCCGCCGCCGCCGCCGCCCTTGCCCTTCTCCACGGCCTTCGCCGCGTCGAACCTGGCCTTGGAGATGGCGGCAGCGGCCCCCTTGACCTGCGCCTCCGTCGGCGTCGAAGCCGCGCCAGAGGCGCCCTTGGGGCCACCAGCCACGTGCGAGGCACTCGCAGCCGCAGCTGGCGCTGCTGCGCCAGGCGGTGGCGCTGCAGCTACTCCCTCAGCGCCTCCAGCAGCCGCAGTCGGAGGTACGCCCTGACCACCTCCATCACCCGCGGCAGCTCCTTCATCATTTCCTGCTGTGCGCCTCTTCTTGTTCATGCGCTCAACAACCTCCTTCTCGAACTTGTCAACCTTCTCGAGGAAGGCGCGTACCTGGACATCCTTGGACTCGAAGGCAGTACGATACTGATCGAGTTCACGTTTTAACTCTCGCAGCTGCTCTTTGTCGCTCTCCTCACAATCCCAGCTCTCGAACTGGTCGAAAATTGCCGAGTTGATGCGCAGCTCGAAAGCGGGCACCTGATCACCCGAGGTGGCCGTGGACTGCGTGGCCTGCACTCCCTCGGCTTTCGCCAAGGCCTCGGCTGCTCGCTTCTTGTGGATCTCGGCGAGCGCCAGATCCTCAGCTGCCTTCTGTTCCTTGCACTCCGCCACCTGCAACTGCTTCCTCAAGCGCAGGACCTGCGTCACCGTCTGCTCGTGGCGGTGAGATGCCGCGCGCCATGCCCCATCGGCCTTGCGCACGGCCTCTGCCTCCGAGACGGGCTCCTCCTGTTGCACCTTCTGCTGAAGCCGCTCCTGCTGGGCTGCCAGCGCCGACTTCAGCGTGACGTCGTCGGACGCCTCGGCCGCCTCCTTCAAGAGCGCCTGCACCATCGCATACTGCTTGGCCTTGGCAGCAGCCTCGCCCTTGCCTCCGCGTCTGGGGCTGGGGCTGCGAGGATGTCGGCCAGCGTGAACTTTGCCTGAACCCGCGACGGTGCCGCCGTCGTCCTGCAGCTCGATCCGCTCCACGTGCTCGTCGAAGGAGACGCTGGGGGCCCTCGGCACATAGAGACGGATCTTCTTGCTGCATGTGGGACACTTACCCCCAGACGCGGCCAACTTGTCATTGTACTCACATGCTTTGCACTGCGCGCACCGACTCCATGGTCGAGACGACCTCCCCCGACTGGCGGGACGAGCTGGACGCGCCACATCTGCTGTCATCCCTGCTTTCGTTAGCCTGGCGAGTGTGGGCGAGACTCACCAAACTATCCCTCAAGCACCCCGAGGAGGTACAGGGATCGGGCTCTGGCAAAATGCTCGGGCCCAATTGGCTTGAGAGGAGGAGGAGGAGGAGGAGGAGGAGGAGGAGGAGGAGGAGGAGGAGGTGGGGGGAGCCCGGGGGGGGGGTCGCCGGGCCCCCTGGGGCAACGGGAAGACACGGGGGCGGCCGGCCTTTGGACGGGGGGGAACTCGGGACCCACCCCCCCTCCTCCCTGGGGACAGGGAGGCACCTCCTCCCGCACCCCCCCCTCCCCCGAGGCAGCCTCCTCGCTCTTGCCTGCTGTCACGGGGTGCTGCGTGTCTCCTCCCACGTGCCCCAAGAGGCCTCAGATCCGCTCCGAGGCGGCTCCAAGTGACCACTGAGCTTCCCAAGAAGTCTTCTCCCAAGAGGCCCCCCAACAGAGTCCAAGAGGCTCCCGAGAGAACCCCAAGAAGGGCTCCAGAGGGTCAGAGCCGTCGTCGTCGCCGTCGCTGCCACCGTCGCCGTCGTCGTCCCCCTTCAGGGTCGGAAGCACAGGCCGTAAGGCCTTCCAAATCTGCCCCCTGGCTTGTGCGCTCCGACCAGAATTTCGATGCGGACGCAGCCGTGGCGACAAGAAGCTCCCTAGAGATCTCGAAAGGGCGAATTTCTCACTAATGATAACTTATGAATGTCGCCTTCAGCGGGGCTCCTTCAGGGGGCGCGAAGCGTCTGAGAGGTGTGCCGACATGGCCTGGGGGCGCATGCGGGCCTTGTCACTGGTGCCATCGGTGGAGCTCTTTCTGGGGCCACGAAACGTGAGGGGTGCGCCAAAATGAGCCTTTGGACACATGTGAGCTGAGCCGCTGGGGCCTTCGGTGGAGCTCCCGATGGGGCCACGAAATGTGTGAGGGGTGCCGAAAAGGGTAGGAACCGCATTTGAAACACCCCTCTTGGGGGCTTCGGTGGAACTACCTGTAGAGCCACGAAACATGTGAGAGGCGTGCGAAAATGAGCCAATACCGCATGAACCTTCCCTCATGGGGCCTTCGGTGGAGCTCCCTGTGGGGCCATGACACGTGCGAGGGGTGTACCAGAATGGCTGAGAGCCGCATGCGAAACTCCCTTCACGGGGGCTTCGGTGGAGCTGCCTTTGGGGCCACGAGACGTGTCAGGGGTGCCCAACAGGGTAAGAACCGCATGCGAAACGCCCCCCCTGGGGGCGTCGGTGTAGCTCCCTATGGGGCCACTAAACGTGTGCGGGGTGTGCCGAACTTGGCATGCGGAAGACAGCCGCAGGGACGGGAGGCGGAAGGAAGGACGAGAGGAGACGCGGGGCGATGTCTCTTAATAACGAGGACTCGAAACCACAGGATGGTTGGGAAAAACATTCCAAACACCCCAGGGACGGGGGGGGGAGGAGGCTGACGACGACGATCGACGACGACGCCGACAACGATCGCTGACGACGCCGACAACGATCGCCGACGACGACGACGGCGACGACGACGACGACGACGACGACAACGCCGACGACGATCGACGACGACGCCGACGACGATCGACGACGAGAACGACGACGATCGACGACGACGACGACGATCGCCGACGATGCCGACGACGACGACGACGACGACGCCGACGGCGACGACGACGACGACGACGACGACGACCGGCGGCGGCGACCGCCCGAGGCCGGGCAGCGGCGGCGGCGGCGCCGCCCCCCCCCGCCGCGCGGCGCCAGCGTGTGCTGCGGGCAGCCGGACCGCGGGGGCGTTCGCACCGTGAGGCCCAGGAGCTCCAGGGCGACGTCGGGGCCCGACTCCTGGGCCCCTCCCTCCTCCTCCTCCTCCTCCTCCTCCTCCTCCTCCTCCTCCTCCTCCTCCTCCTCCTCCTCCTCCTCCTCCTCCTCCTCCCCCTCCTCCCCCTCCTCCCGGCGCGCTGGCCTCGGTCGGGCGTTGGCAAAACTGGGTTTGGTGGAACCTGGTTTAGTGATCTTCACCGGGGGCGCCCCCCCGCCCCAGTTCCACAAACCGGAGCTGTCGTCACCCGAAAAACACCAGCTATTCAAAGGCTCCGGGGCCCTACCACTAACCGGGTCCCCTTACCCGGGGTCCTGGCCATACCCGCCCCTCGGCGCGCTGGCCTCGGTCGGGCACGTCCCCCAGCAGGCAGCTCTTGCGGGGAAAGTGTAAACATGTCCACAAGAAGACTCGAGCAGGGTCCGAGGATGATGGGGAAGTCGTCCCCGGACGATGTTTCGACCAGGTCTGAATCTTCCTCCTGTACGGGGACAGGCCCGACTTAAGCGCTGGCCTGAGTCGAAGGAGAAAAAACGCCATAAGCATGAACTCTTGGAACTCTGCGCGGATTTCTTGGATCTGCGCTGGGCCCCCCTCCCTGGCGCGCGGGGCGCGCCAGGGGCGGCGCCGGAGGCGCCGCCCAGGGGGGGGCCCAGCGCGGATCCAAGCAATCTGCGCGGAGCGCCAAAAATCTATGTCTATGGCGTTTTGCTTCTTCAACTCAGAGGGGCACGACAGGGGGGACCGACTGGGGTCGGGGATCGGGGACGCACTGACCCGGGTCCATGCAAAGCCGGGTCAGTGGGGCTTTGCAGGGTCCTGCAAAATCCTGCAGGATCCTGCAGGACCCTGCACGCAAAACCTGGGTCAATGCACCCCTGGCTCTGCCGGATCCTGCAAGATCCAACACTCTGACTGACCCCCGTTTGCATTGACCCCCGTCTCGAGGCCCCCGAGGGGAGACGGCAGACTCGGGTCCCGGGGGATGCGGGTTGGCCTGAGGAGCCCCGCGGCAGGAAAATGACGAGACCCAGCGTGAAGTTTGGCGCAGGCTCCCGCTGCAAGCTGCTCGAGCCTCACGCGTCCTCGACCCAACGGGGAAGCCTCGAGCTGGAGTCGCCAATCGGCGACCGGCCCCCGATGCCGGTCGGGCATTCATCGCCTATCCGGGTGGGCAACCGGGGGGCCCTGTCGGCGACCACTGGGCGAGCGGGGGTCGATGCCTTCCCCCCGAGCCTATCCCCCAGAAACGTTGCCCCGGATGGCTCCACGCCGGGTCCTGAGGGAACCAGTTCCTGGATCCTCCCTCCCTCCCTCCCTCCCTCCCTCCCTCCCTCCCTCCCTCGTCCTCCTCCTCCTCCTCCTCGTCCTCCTCCTCCTCCTCCTCCTCCTCCTCCTCCTCTTCCTCCTCCTCCTCTTCCTCTTGTTGGCCTTCCCCCAGGTCGAGGTCCTCATCCCGACTCGTCTTCTGACAGCCCTGGGGCCCGTATGGGGGGGCCCCGAGGCCCGAAAGCGGCGAAAAACCTCAGGACACGTTTCCCTCAGGACCCGCTTCCCCCACGGCGAGCCGTCGTCGACGTCAGCGTCGTCGGCGGCGGCGGCGGCGGCGTCGGCGTCGGCGTCGGCGTCGGCGTCTCTGTCGTTGTCGCCGTCGTCGTCGTCGTCGTCGTCGCCCAGGATCGAGGATCGAAAATCGAGAGCTCGTCGGCGTCGCCGCCCAGGCGAGGGCGACGTCCGGGCCCGACTGCACGTCGGGGGGGGGGGGGGGGGCCGAAGGTGGCCCTGGCCCAGGGTGCCCGCCGGCTCTTCGCGCGCCGCTCTGGAGCCCCCCGCGGGGCCCTCCCCAGGCCTCCGACGCCGCGCCCCCTCCACAGCAAAGGGCTGCACGGACCCTTTTTCGGGGATGGACAGACCTCCCTTTAGCAAAACGTGGTTTAGTGAAAACGACCTCGGGCCCAAACCTGGCGGGCGCAAGCCTGGAAAATAGCGGTCGCGGCACCCTCTCGAGAACCGAAAACGGACAATCCACTAATCGACGTGTCAGGGTAGGAGGTCTGTCCACCCCCGACTTTTACCCCTAGACTTAGGTCGGGCATGTCCCCCTACAGGCAGATGTTGGAGGAAGAATAAAAACTAGTCCAAACATATTCAAGAATGGTCAACCCGAATCCAAAAAACGTCCCCAGACTATTGTTAGGCTATTTCTGAATATTCCTCCTGTAGAGGGACATGCCCGACTCAACTCCAGACCGGCTCGGAATCCCGAGTCGGCTTCTGACGGTCCCGGGGCCCGGTGAGCCACGAGCACCGAGCAGCTGCCGACGCCCAGGAGCGTGGCCCGAAGGTGGCCGAGACAGGCGCGCCTCGCACGCCAGGGATCGTCCTAAACAGTGTTTTTCGTTTTCGTTTTATTTTAGTTTTCCCTCGTTATGGTCTTCAACCCGCCTTCGCTGCAAAGCGGAATCGAAACGAAAACGACCCACCCAATCGCCCAAACACCGCTCGGGTCCACCCCATGTCGCACGCTGGCCCTCGACAACTGGAGAACGGCCTGGTGGAAGCGCTGCGAGGGACCACGTGTGAGAGGCAAGCGGCGCCACCTGCGGCAGCTCTCGTCCCAGGGCCAAATACCTCGCGCCGCGTGCTTTTCGCGGCGCGGGGGGGGGGGGGGGGAAAGCCAGGGCCCTGGCCTCGCGAGGAGATGCCCCCGGGGGCCGCCAGAGGGCCTCCCCTGGGGACCTCGGGGACGCCCTCACTAACCCGGACGCCCCGCCGCTCAATTCTTGCTCCGATTCGTGGGCCCCATGGAATTCTGGACCACATCCCGCCGGCGGGGCCCGCTTGTCGCCCCGCGTCGCTCCTTGACCGCCCCGAGGCCTGGCGAGGGCCCCCGGAGGCCGACCACGGCCAAACACCTGCAGAGTTCCAACCCTTGCTCGGGGCGCTCGGGCCGCTTCGGGCTCGGGAAGAAGAGCTCACATCCTCACTCGGCAGCTCTCCTTCCACCCCAAGCCCAGAGGCCTATCCCTGGTCGGTGACGCTGGAGCTCTGGGAGCCGCACGCCTCTGGCAGAGGCCCTGGGGAGGGGCCCTCTGGGAGGCCTCCCCGGGGGGGGGGAGCCCCGGAGGCCCCCCCGGGGACGCCCTGCGGCGCCCAGACCCCTGGGGCCCGCGCCTTTGCCCTCTCGCCGCCATCGACGTCGTCGTCGCGGCCGCCGTCGTCGCGCGGCCACCTCCGTCACCGCCGCCGGCGCCGTGGGCGAGGCGAGGGTCGAGGATCGAGGCTTTCGGGCGTGTCGGGGCGAGGGTCGAGCATCGAGGGGCGACGCTGGGACGAAGAGGATTAAGAGGACGAAGAGGAGGAGAAGACTGAGTTGGAGGAGGAGGAGGAGGAGGAAGAGGAGGAGGAGCAGTGTAAGCCCAAGAGTCATCAACGATGTTGGCATAAACCCTCCCTCCAAGCTCACTCTTCATAGGCCCCTACAAAGGTCCATTTCCACTGAGGGAACTGCATCGTTGGAAGAAAACCGTTTGAAGACCCTGAAGCGTGCCAAAACATTATTCTCGGAATTCCAACACCAGATAAACCTGACCGTTGCGTCTTGACGATCTTGAATCGAGCCTGAACGCATTCCTGGAACTTCAACACCGCGAACCAACTATTGTAGCCTAATCCTGAACCTCTCCAAAACACTATTTCTGGTACGTTGACCATGGGAACCCGTGAAACTCTTGCAATTCTCTAAACCGAGTGTGCGCGGTGCTCAGGCGAGACCCACATTTTGAAACGAACCGCCCTCAATCCGTGAAACTCTCGCTAATATTAAACGAAATAGCCGTTGTTTTGCGAATATGCGCGGCGCTGAGGCGAGAGCCACATGTTGGAAACCACCCGCCCCCAATCCGTGAAATCCTTGCAAAGTTTCAACACGAATGTGCGTTGTGCTAAGGCGAGAGCCACATGTTGAAAACCACCCGCCCTCAATGTGTGAAACTGCTGCCAATGATTAAGCTCCAGGGTCATAAAGGGTGAGGAAGTCTCATGCGAAACGCCCGCCCCGCCAATTCGACCAGCCTCGGGGTGCAACAGGGAGAAAGTATTAATGAGGAAAGGGAATGGAAGAGGAGCAGGAGGAGGAAGAGGAGGAGGAGGCGGAGGAGGGGGGGGGAGGAGGAGGAGGAGGAGAGGAGGAAGGAGGAGGAAGGAGGAGGGAGGAGGGAGGAGGAGGAGGAGGAAGAGGAAAAGGGGGAGGAGGAAGGAGGAGAGGAGGAGGAGGAGGAGGAGGAGGAGGAGGACGAGGAGGGAGGAGGAGAGGAGGAGGAGAGGAGAGAGAGGAGGAGGAGGAGGAGGAGGGGGAGCAGGAGGAGGAGGAGGCGTAGGAAGAGAGGAGGAGGGAGGGGAGGAGGGAGGGGCGGAGGAAGGAGGAGGGGTGCAAGATGGGGAGGAGGGGAGGAGGAGGAGGAGGAGGAGGACGAGGGAGGATGAGAAGGAGAAAGGGGAAGATGTACGGGGTTGGCCGGGAAGACCCCCAGAGTTCTCGACGCTGGCGGCGACGACGGCGGGGCCGAGAACGAAGCAGCGCACGGCGGCGGCGGCGGCGACGACGACCAGCCCAGAGGGGGCACAGCCGCACGTGGCCGCGAGGCCGTCGCCGCCCTCCCTCGCGAGGCCTGGGGCGCCCCCTTCCCCAAGAAACGCTGGAAATCTCCTCCTCCTCCTCCTCCTCCTCCTCCTCCTCCTCCTCCTCCTCCCCCTCCTCCCCCTCCTGTTCTTCCCCCTCATCTCCCTCCTGCCTCCTCCCCGATTCCTCCTTCCCTCCTCCTCCTATCCCTCCTCTCTCCTGGGTGGGGGAGGGGGCGCATCCTGCACCGAGAGCTCACTGGCCACGCGGTCGCCCGTCACCTCCTGGCACATGGCGCGCTCCAGGGCGTCCAGGCCTCGGCGGGACGAGAGGGGTCGAGGGTCGAGGGTCGAGAGGAGGAGGAGGAGGAGGAGGAGGAGGAGGAGGAGGAGGAGGAGGAGGAGAAGAAAGGAGGAGGATCGAGAATCGAGGAGGGTGGAGAGAGGAGGGTCGAGGGTCGAGGAGAGAAGAAAGGAGGAGGAGGAGGAGGAGGAGGAGGAAGAGGAGGAGGAGGAGGAGGGTCGAGGGTCGAGGGTCCAGGAGAGAAGGAAGGAGGAGGAGCGAGGATCGAGGAGCGCAGGCCGAGGAGAGCAGCAGGGGGAGAGGACGGAGGATCGGGGGTCGAGAGTCGAGGGTCGAGGGGGAGGGAGGATCGAGGGTCGAGTCCCGAGGGTCGAGGAGAGCAGCAAAAGGAGGATCGAGGAGCGAAACGAGGATCGAGGATCGAGGAACCCATGGTCGGATCAAGGAGAGGAGCAGGAAGATCGCCCATCGGGGGTCGGGGCTCCTGCATCGACATGGAATCGACGTCGAATCGAATTGGCTGCGCCAGGAGGCACGACGGCGCCGTCGAGACGGATGGAGACAGGCGGGATCGACATCGAATCAGACTGATCGAAGCGACAGGGGCCATGGAAGGGGGAGGAGCCCACACCTCAAGCGTCTTGAGGAACATCCTACCAGCTCTCTGGGCGTGAGTGGTTTCAGGACAATCCACGTCCAACCCTGGATCTTCCCCGTCGGGGGGGTGTTATCATTGGTCTGATGTTGCGAGAAGAAGACAAAACACCACCTCTCCCAGGCGACCTGCAGCCAACCCGTCTCAATGCCCTCCCCCCACCATACCGGTCAACAACACAATGCAAGATGCACTTTGCGGAAAAATATTGATCATGTTCGGGGGGGGGCGCGAGCATTCTGCAGTGGTTTTGACAGGGACGGCGGGGGTGCCCTCATATTGACTGCCGCGCGCAGGCCGACCATCCCTCGAACCAAAAAGTACGAAGAGCACTTCACGGCAACGTCAAGATCATGCGCAGGCACCCCGCGATCAGTCCGCCCTGGTGCTAGGCAGGGGCGGCGTGGGTGCTGGCGTGCGCCGACCCACCAGACACCATGATGGCCACCCCGCGGCGATCGCGCCCTGGTTTTCGACAAGGATGGTGGGGGGCCGACGTGCACCGGTGCACCTGGAACACGCTGCACGTGCCCCGGACGCGTCACACCTAGCGCGGCTGGAGCATGCGGCACACGTGCATCAGGCGCGCCTGGCACGCCTGGGCCCCAGGGGTGCCTGGCGCACCTGGCGCGCGCGAAGCGCATGGCAAGCGTGGCGCACCTCGCCCCAGCGTCGCGCACATGGGGCCTGTTTGGTGACCAGTAGCCTCCCATCCAAGAGCAACCGCAGAACATGCTGCTGTTCGGGTGGTACGTATGTGGGCGGCGGCGGGACCATCTGCGGCGGCGGGCGGAACGTCCCTCCCGCCAAAAACGTTTGCCGCGTTAGCGCGAGTCGCCCAATTTCAGCTGTGTACCTGTAACCTGTCGCGGGCCTCTGCCGTTCGGGCGAGGATGGACGGTTGGCCACAGCCGCCGCTGCTCTGCAATGCCGCGGCGGCCGCGCGGCTTTCTGCGCGGCGCCGCAGCTGGCGCCGGCGTCCGCTGCCGCTGCCTCCGTCGGCATGGCGCCATTGGACGCTCTCCGCGCGGTTGGCGGCTGCGCTTGTCTGCGTCAATGGATCTGCTGCGGGCTGCGCAGCTCGATGGACTGGACGAGGCGTCACTTCTGCTAGGGTCAGTTGTTTCGTGCTCGGCGTTGAGAAGCATGTCCAAGCGCCGCGCCGCCGCAGAAGCCCTCGCTGTGCTGGGCTGGGTTGCACGGGTAGCTGGCCTCAATATGTGGGGCCGAAGATCCCGCGACCGCGTCGGCGCCGCTGGGGTTGCTCTGCGCATCGCGGCGCGCGCAGCAAGGGCCTCGGAGTCGACAGCGTTGGAGTTGCTGTCCAAGTTTGCGATCGGAGGCGGCTATGCTGGTTGAGGAGGCGCCTCTTGGTCATGGCGACACGGGCACCGCCGCATGACGATCTCCATCGTCCAGTTGAAGAGTGTAGAAGTGCTCGAGGCGGAGCCCAGCGACGCCCCGTCCCACCCACCCCTCGACCAAGCGGCGGGAAATCTCTGGCGGGCCCGTTGGCGTCATGCGTGTGTTGGTGACCGCTACCCTCTGCCCCTCCGGGGCAGCTACGGCACCTTCGACGCGGGCGCATATGGTGCTCTCGGGTTGTAAGCAAGCAGGCAGAACTGCCTGGGCTGCCAGCTCGGAGGGCGGTAGGGTCCATGTCGTGGCCGCCGTGTCTACAGATGCACCCCTATCAGGCGAGATTGCGATCATCCGCGCGACGGCTCCTCGGGCAGACGCAGCTCCCTCCTGTCGCGCTGGGCCCTGGTTCGGCCACCTCTGGCTTACAATCGGATGCGCTCCGAGGCCCGCTCGCGCTCCTGAGGTCCTGGTGAGCACGTTGCGGCTGTCCTCGCGGGCCTCGCACTGGTTGGGTCGGCATCGCTGAGGTTGCACGACGACTGCGGGCCCTCGTGGCAGCGTCGAACACGCGAAGGTCCTCGTGGGATATGGAGCGCACGCCCCCGATGAGGATGATCTCGGGCGGTCGCCGGACAGCTGATGCAAGCGCGCGGGGCCTTCTGAACCCAGAGCCCCCCAACTCGCTGTTGGCCGCGTCGGGCATGCTGATCCTCCATGTCGCCAGTTTGGGTCATTCCAGTATCCCCGTGGCAGCTGCTCCCCGATGACATCCCAGGATAGAGCAGTGTACTGAGTAGCCACCAGCAGCCTTCACTTGACGCTGTCGATTCCCAGCGTTTTCGGTTCAACGTCGTGGAGGTATGCGAATGGCGACTGTTGCCCAGTAGGGTCGTCCTCGTCGGCACGGAGTCCGCCCAAGGTCTGTGGTGCGAGGTGTCGACTGTGAACGTCGACGTACGAGGTTGTCAAAACGCATGTGGAGGGCTCTCGCGCTAGCCGTGGTGACCGTCACTGAGGTAGTCGAGTAGCGCCTCGGCCTAGCAGCTTGGCTGGATACTACTATCGGGGCTCGTGCACTGGAAGACGCTGTCGACCTCGTTGCGGGCGCCGTCCGTACATGTGCGCGAGCGCAGTGCCCTCCAAACTGTCTCCTTATTGGGGGCGAGCTTGATGGTCCGACGCAACAACCTTCGTGATTATGGTGTTCGTGGTACCATTCTCTCCCCCTTGGCCACTATAGGCCTCACGTTGATGCAGATATGGTGGGCTTCGGGTGGCGCATTCCTGAGCCTCGTGCCAAGGTAGGAGACCTATGATGGCCCTCGGCCGTCGTTCTTTGCTGCACCGGCCATCCTTGTCGCTTCCAGTGGTTTGCCTCGCGGGGAAATTAAATTGGCAAGGGTCGTTTCCCCGCTCCTTCGCTTCGGTCGTCATGGGTTCTTTGCGCCTATGACCTTCCCCCTCTCATCATCCTGTTGCGCATCATCATTCACCTCCTCTTCACATCGTCATCATCATCATCATCATCAGCATCATCATCATCAGCATCATCATCATCAGCATCATCGTCGTCGTCATCATCATCATTGTCATCGTCATCGTCATCAGCATCAGCAGCATCATCATCAGCATCAACCTGACCACCACCACGGTCACCACCGCCACCACCACCACCACCACCATCATCAAAATCACCACCACCAACATCACGACCAACACCACCACCAACACCACCGCCAACACCACCACCACCACCAACACCACCGCCAACACCACCACCACCATCATTATCATCATCATCAACATCATCATCACCAACATCATCATCATCATCACCATCATCATCATCATCATCATCATCATCATCATCATCATCATCATCATCATCATCATCATCATCATCATCATCATCATCATCCCCTCACGTATGATCCTCCCCTGACTTGTGACCCTCATCCTCAACCCCCGCGCCCTGACCCTCCTCCTCTCCCTTCTCCTCTTCCAGCCCGCTGGTTGCACCGAGACCCAGACGCGACACCTGCACGGACAGCGCCGAGAGCGACTCCGTCTGGCCGATGATGACCGACAGGCCGTTGAGGACCACCGAGAACGCCATCTGAGCCTGGGAGATCGCGCCGAACTCCAGCTCGCCTCGCGGCGTGCCGCGGGCACCGTAAAGCAAATGCACGGCGCCTGACAGATGTCTGGCTGCCTGGCTGCGCTTCGTGGGCGAAACTTTCTTCGTCGGCGGCGAGGCGGCGAAATCCGCACCAGCGTACAGCTGGGCAGGGGCAGCAACCCGCGAATTGGCCGGCGTGCAGGGAGGGAGGACGGAGGCCGAGAGGACGGAGGGACGCTCAGACGCCGAAGGAGTCGACGACGAGCGGCCGGCGGGCGGCGATTCGTGTCCGCGGCCTCGCGGGCTGGGCCCCTGGGCCGCAAGCCCGCGGATGAGGGCGGTCATGTCGCGGACGCCCCGCGGGGAACGCATCCGGGCGGCCGCGTATCCGCGGGGCCGCGATGGCGCGCATTACGGTTCCGTTCGCCGCTCGTGAGCACTCGGATGCAGGGGGCCATCACCGCGCATCTTCGAAATCCAGGGCTGGTATGGGTCGGCATTGAACGTGAAGCGGGCCGGCTGAGGGCTCCCTCCTACACTGTATGTAGACATAAATATACATATGCACATGCAAGAGCCATCACGCGCGCTTCGCCCGCGCTCAGGTTCTAGCGCAGGTCGTGAGGTCGCTGGAGAGCGTGGACACCGCTGTCGTGCACAACTGCGTGACATAGTCGTACCCATCCTCATCCCCATGCTCATTCCAGATCTAATCCTCATGCTCTTCATCATCCTACTCATCGTCGTCATAAGACTGACAATCAGCATCATCGTCATCATCATGAGCAGCATAATAGTAATACTAAGCAGCAGCATCATCATCCTCATCATTATCATCATCATCAGCATCGGCATCATCATCATCGTCAACATCAACATCAGCATCATCATCAGCTTCATCACCATCATCATGATCATATGGATAGCATCCTTGGCCCGACGCTGTTACCCATGCCAACTCTTGAAGCTCGCGTATCATCATAATCATCATCATCATCAGCCTCGTCCTCATCAGAACGAGCAGAATCCATCATTGTTATCATCATCATCCGAATCATCAGGTTCATTATCACTCCCACCACTGTCATCAGCATCATCAACAACACAGCTACCTGAATCGTGCACATCGTCACTGTCATCGTCTGACCCATCATAACTCTCATCATCACCAGAATGAGCATCACCATCATCGTCGCCGGCCCGATGTTCACAGATTGGCCTGCCAGAACATCAGGCCCACTGAGCGCCTCGGGGAGCCTCTTAGGGGCGTCTGGGGGTGGGTCCTGAAATTTGTCTGACGGCTCTCTCGGGGGCCTCTTCCTGAGAGGCTGGCCCTGCGAGGGCGAAAAGACAAGCTCATCAGAATCTACTGCTTCCCGTTGGTTACTGAATGACCGAGACGTCCTGTTGGACTCTTGGAAGCCTCTTGGGAGCATCTTGGAGGCCTCTTGAGGGGGCTCTTGGAGCTGCCATGGGGCCCCGAGGGGTCTTCGCAGACTGTCGAAAGGCGCTTGTGGCCCGTCTGACGCCTTCGGAAGCCGCTAGGCTGGGCTCTTCGAGATTGCTTGGGTCATTATGGGAACCTCTTGACTGCTCATGGAACCGTCTTGGTGGCCTCAGGGGCTCCTGTTGGGTTTCTCTCGGGCAAAGCTGGGGCTCTCCAGTAGCCTCAGAGGTGACCGCAAGATTGAAGAGAAGAAATCAGACGCATCATCATTGTCATGATGATACTCGTCACCGTGACCATAAGCATCAACATCCGCACCCTCAGCATCGTCATCATCACCGTCTTCATCATCGACGTCGTACTCAACATCAGCATCAATATCGCACTGAACACCATGGACCACTTCACCATCACTAGCATCAAAATCCTCATCATCAGCAGCAACCGCAAAATCGATATCAGTGTCCTCATCATACCCTTCATCAAGAACGTCCCCGTCACAGTCATCATCACAGTCATCATTATCGTCACCATCGTAGTCATGGTCATTATCATCACTAGCGTCATGGTCATACTCATCATCATCGGCAGCAGGAAAAGCAGCAGCAGCCGCAGCATCATCATAATGGAATCGGCAGCATCCTCATCCCCACCATCAACAACGTCATTAGCATCATCATTAGCAGCATCAGGATCATCCTCATACACATCCATGTCATCATCAGCAGCAACATACTCTTCAACAACATCATCAGCATCATCATCAGCACCGGCACCATCAACAGCATCCATATCAGCAAGAGCATCGACATCAACATCATCATCATCAACAACAACAACAACATCATCCCAATCATCGCAACCATGAACATCAAAATCGTAGCCATGACCGTGTTGAGCACATCTTCATCTGACCACAAGGCCTCCTGAAGCTTCTTGGGAGCCTTGTTCGGGACTGCCTGGGAGCCACCTTGAACTGCCTGGGGTGAGGACGGTATCATCATAAGAATGAATCGTCAGCATCATCATCAGCATCATCATCACCAACATCAGCCTCATCATCATCAGCATCATCAGATTCATCATTATGATCATCATCATCAACAACATCATCAGAATCATCGTCTCCGTCATCATCCTCATATTGATCACCACCACCATCACCACCATCATCAAAATCTTCATTATCGTCCCCATTATCAGTATCATCATGACCATCATAATACTCGTCAGCATCAACATCATCATCAGCATCATCATTACGACCATCAATAATGTCATCATCATTATCAGCATGTTCGTCATCATAATCATCCCTATCATCATCCTCATCCTTATTATCATCCCCATCTGCATCCTCATCAGAATCATCATCATCATCGTCACCATCACCATCATACTCAACTCCATCAGCACCATCATCATCAGCATCATAATCGCCATGATCATCATCAACATCATGATCATCATCAGTATCATCATAATCATAGTCATCATCATCATCATCATCATCATCATCATCATCATCATCGCCATCATCGCCATCATCGCCATCACCATCACCATCACCATCACCATCACTATCACCATCATCATTATAATTATCCGAATCATCAACAACAACATCATCACCATCATCAACATCATTATCCTCATCATCCTGATCAGCATCATCATAATCCTCCGTATCATCTCAAGCATTCGCATCAATATCGTCGACCAGATGTTCCCGGAGAGGCCTCCAGGAACATCAGGCCTGCTGCGTATGAGGGGCTCGGACTTTCCTCCGGGAGTGACAGAAAACATCAGGCTGGCTGCGTGATAAACGGGCTCGGACTGGCCGTCGGTAGTGAAGGACTTAAGCGTCCTAGGGCCCTCTTGGAAGCGTATTGGGAGCTGGGGCCTCTCGGGAGCCTCTCGTGAGCCTCTTTGGGGCCGCGTGGGGCCGTCTTGGGGGCCATCTGCAGCTTTCTCGGGCGGTCCGGAGGCCATCTGAGGTCGCCTGGGTGGGCTCCGGGGCCGTCACAGGGCAGTCATAGGGGCCCCTCTTTGGGCCGCCTGGAGGCGCTCGCTCGTGGAGGGTCCCTGGGGCCCCGGTCCACCCATGGAGGTTTGGGACACCTGGTCTGGGCCCCCCGAACGCCTACGCCGTATGTAATATATATATATATATATATATATATATATATATGTGTATATATATATATATGTGTGTGTGTGTCTGTATGCACATATACACATGTGTATATAGATACATGTAGACACATACATACATACAGACAGACAAACAAACATACATACAGACAGGCAGGCATACAGACAGACAGACAGATAGACAGTTCAGGAAGGACAGACAGACAGACAGACAGACAGACAGACAGACAGACAGACAGACTACATGCATACATACATACATACATACATACATATATACATACATACATGCATGCATGCATGCATGCATACACACATACAGACGCACGTACATACATACATACATACATACATACATACATACATACATACATACATACAAACGTAAAACCGTACATACAAACATCCATGCATGTGTGCATAGATACATGTATGTATACACGCATACGTACGCAAGTACGTACGTATATGCATGCACACATACATACCCACGTACATGTTTACGACCGTACGTATGTATATGCATACACCCAAATACATACATCCATACTGACAGACAGGCATACATGCATACATACATACAGCCGTACGTACACACACGTGCATGCATGCATGCACGCATTAACGCATGCATACATACATACATGTTTACATGTATGCATATAGTGATACATGCATGCATGCATACATGCATACACACAAGTATACATATACATGTACAGTTACATAAGGATGCACCTTTACATATACATACACGTATACAAATACATATACATATACCCATACATAGACATCTAGAAATACATATACGTATAAGTGTATAGATATACGTTACCTAAATATATGAATGTACATGTATATGCACATAACACACATACATGAATACACGTACATGCACATACACATATATAAATTCATGCACATGTATATACATAAATACATAACACAAAAAATGCATTGGCGCTTCGCGCCATGCACCGTGGTCCTTCAATTTAGGCCTGCGGACGGATTGATAGAAAGGGACATGCAAATTAATGGTACCAGAGAGAACCCCCGATCATAATATGCTTTGGGACTATGGGGATATAGGGCTATAGGGCTATGGGGCTATGGGGCTATACGGCTAGAGGGCTATAGGGCTATAGGGCTACAGGGCTATATGGCTATAGGGCTTGGGAAAGGGCGACAGGGCTATTGGGCTATAAGGCTACATGGCTATAGAGCTATATGGCTATAGGGCTAGAGGGCTAGAGGGCTAGAGGGCTCAAGGGCTAGAGGGCTAGAGGGCTAAATGGTTATAGGGCTACAGGGCTATAGGGCTGTAGGGCTATAGGACTATAGGGCTGTAGGGTTATTGGGCTATTGGGCTATAGGGCTATAAGGCTATAGGGCAATAGGGCTGTAGGGCTACAGGGCTATAGGGCTATAGGGCTACAGGGCTATAGGGCTGTAGGGCTGTAGGGCTATAGGGCACCCGGGCACCCAGGCGGGATGCCGAAATCGGCGACGCAACTCCTGGGCACCTGGGCACCCGGGCACCCGGGCGGGCCGCCAAAATCGGCGACGCAGCTAACCTAACCATATGAATCCGCTAGGACCCCTACAGAGGCAAGCTCTGATTGGGGAACATCAGAAACTCATGGTTGTCGTTTCCGTCGCCAACGTTCTAATATGTGTTTCCTTCTGCTTCCATCATGTCGCAAATTCTTTGTTCTCGCCTACCCCTGCGAAGCCTTCCCCATCCTCCTCTGCTTGTTTACGAAGGTTCATCCTTGAAGGCCTCTTGGGGGCCTCACGCAACCATTTAAGGGCTTCTGGGGGGCTCAACGACTGGGCCACGATTTTAGTGCTTCGGGGAGCGCCGTTGTGCCATCTTGGGCCTTCATGGGGCTCTCTTCGGGCCGCCTTGGGGCCCGATTGGGCCGTCTTGGAGCTCTCTTGGACTGTCTGCGAGCCCTTTTCGATCGTCTTGGGGCGACTTGTTCGGTGTCTCTTGGGCGATCTCGGACGCCCAGAAGACCGACGAACCGATCATCCAGCAATCGCAAAGAAACCACAGGAACATCACCTCTCTTGCGCTCAGAAATCCCTTGGTGGTGTTCTTTTTGCCGTCTCCGGGCGCCTGATAGGTGCCTGGGGTCGCCTGCACCTCTCG